TCTATGGTCGAGAGCTTACACCCCCCATACCCCTCTCACCGCCCATTTACTTGGTTCAAATTCCCGTAAGAATTTATATAAAAATACACTATACACATAAAATTCCTATACGCATTTATATAAAAAAAAATAAATGAAACAAAAAAATTCTACAGCGTAACTGAAGCAAAGCGACACCAACACACACACACACACACACACACACACACACACACACACACACACACACACACACACACACACACACACACACACACGTAATCAAAACAATAAAGGCAGCAACTAATACAAACAAACAAAAATAAACACCAGAATACCAAGTTAACAAACACTAATTAAAAAAAATATAATAGAAAATTAAAAGTTAAGAAAATCCCCCAAAACACAACAAGGACAAATAAGCAGGACGGTACAGTACTATAATAAGCAGGGCGGTACAGTACTATAATAAGCAGGGCGGTACAGTACTATAATAAGCAGGACGGTACAGTACTATAATAAGCAGGACGGTACATTACTATAATAAGCAGGACGGTACAGTACTATAATAAGCAGGGGGTACAGTACTATAATAAGCAGGGGGTACAGTACTATAATAAGCAGGGCGGTACATTACTATAATAAGCAGGACGGTACAGTACTATAATAAGCAGGACGGTACAGTACTATAATAAGCAGGGCGGTACATTACTATAATAAGCAGGGCGGTACAGTACTATAATAAGCAGGGGGTACAGTACTATAATTAGCCTGGGAGGAACAGTACAACTTTGCTCATGAACAGTGTATTGATGGCCGGTATTGGCTTCAGTGCCCCAGGCCATTCACCCACCACCACAACCAAAGTTAACCTCCCAAGTACGAGGGTAAACAACTAAAACACGTGGGTATCAAATAGTTTATTGCTACCGCGGTGGCTAAAACAAACAAACAAACAAACAAACAAAACACACACACACACACACACACACACACAGACCAGTCAATTACGGGTAAATTAAAGAACTCGTGATTGCATGGACAAGACACACCCTTAAACTACCGACTGCGCGTGTAGGGAAGATCTGCGCGAGTGTAAAGAAGATTTGCGCGGGTGTAGGTAAGATCTGGGCGAGTATAGGGAAGATCTACGCAGGTGTAAGGGAAGATCTGTGCGAGTATAAGGAAGATCTGGGCGAGTATAAGAGAAGATCTGCGCAGGTGTAAGGGAAGATCTGGGAGAGTATAAGGAAGATCTGGGCGAGTATAGGGAAGATCTGCGCGAGTGGTGGCCGGCTAGCTCTTGACAGGTGTGTTGTTCTCTGTACCAGCAAGACGGAATAGGCGCAAAGCGGGGGTGACAGGTGGAGGTGTATGGAGGAGATAACGCTGGCACACACACAGGAGCCAGAGGAAGGTGGGAGGGTGGGGAGAAGAGGGGGGAAGGGTAGGAAGGGGGAAGAAGGGGTGAGGAAGGGGAAGGGGGTGAGGAAGGGGAGGAGAGGAGGAGGGAGGAAGGGGTGAGGGGAGTGAGGGAAGATGGGGAGGGAAAGAGATATCAGACCCGAATCAGAAATCGAGATGGTAGGGAGAGTAGCGAGAGTGGGAGTAGTAAGGGGGGGGGGGCACAGAGATAAACAGGTTAATAGAAAAAAAAACGAAGGAGAGATGTTGGAAGAGACGGAACAGAAGAGAGACAGTAATCCCGCAGCAGAAATGATCTAGTGGAAGGGATGGAATATGGGGAGAAGAGAGGAAAGGATGGGGGCGAGATGGGAAGGGAAGGGATGGAAAAGGAAGGGAAGGGGTTCACTGGGTGCTGTGGAGGTGGAGGCGCCAGGACACGTGACCGCACTTACTGAGGAAGAACGGAAGGTAGGGGAGGGGGGAGGCGGAGGAGGAAGTGGACTAAAGAAATATGGCGTTGCTCTCCCCACGGAAAGAAAGAGAAAAAAAAACCCTCCCCGTAACTTATACTTAGCGTGGGGAAGGAGAGTTAGAATCCATAAAAAAGTCAGGTGCGGCGCCGAAACAGTGGAGTTACTATCACTGGGGAATGAGAAAAGGGGAGGGGAGGGGAAGGAAGAGGGGGGGGAGAGGGAGGGAGGGAGGGAATGGGTGTAGAAGGGGAAAGGAAGAGAGAGGTAGAATAGAAGGAGGGAGATGAAGATGAAGCATAGATGAGTGAGGTAGGAGGAGGGTGGTAAAGTATTAACCGGGAGGTAGACGAAGTGTCGGTATGAGAGACGATAATACTAATACTTTTACGCGAAGGAAACGCCGAGGGACAAACTTGACCGAAATGAAATCTATCCATCCTTTACAAACACTACGAAGATAGGAGCAGCAACACGAGTTGTAGTCAGTAGTACCAACAAGAGCAAAAAAGAAAGCCGAACCTGGAAACTGCAAAGAGAATGCCGCTGCGGGAACAGCAACGAGAATACCACAACAGGGAACAGCAACAAAAAGGCCGCGCAGAGAACATCATAGAGATATGCCGCTGCTGGAACAGCAACATGTAAGACACAAAGGGAACAGCGAATTAAAACAAAGTCGAAGTAAAAGATATGAGGAGGCGGCGGCGACGGCAGCAGCTGCAGCGGCGGCTGAGGCAGCAGCAGTAGAGGTCAAATTACCAACACCATGCAGCACCACTATGAGGAACAGCATTAAGACATCAACAGAAGCAAACGTCAGGTCAAAAAGAACACAAGGGAGGCACAGCACATTGAGGAACTAAGACTAGCAGCAGGATGAGTATAACGATGGAGGCAGCCGGGGGAGAGTGTAATACAGTATATTGTATCATTGACCACGTGTTCAGAGTGAGAGGCGAGGCCCTACAGAGAGAGACAGGCAGACAGAGAGCGAGAGAGAGAGAGAATAAGCAGCACTGGTGGAGATTACAACATCTCATATTAGATGCGGGTCCCCTGAATGTATAATGAATTCGTAGCTCGGCGTCAGCACACTAATAAAGCGACCTATGGACCTTGGCGCAGGTGAGCTCGACTTCTCAACCGCATCACGTCTCCTTCACCTTTAACCCAAACCCAGACCCAGAACCTCCTGACTCAAGTACAACAAAGGCACGCGACCACACACACAACCATTTATACACCCTTACACACACACATATATAAACACACACGGATAAGAATAACACGACCCCACACAAACTTTTAGAACTAAGCACACAGACACGAATATGCGACCATACATGCAATACGCGACTATACACAGGTACGCTACTTATACACACTTCCATACAAGCGATACACGACCACACACACACAAACAAGGAGTATCGACCAGACCTAGGAACTCATACACTTTCATATGTGTAAAATGTTGATATTTAGGCCCAGACGCACACTATGAACATCTCCTTTATACACACATAAGCTCATAGGTTCCCAAAACAACATCGTGTCATCTGAGACCTCTGGTGTGTTACCTCAATGTACTGTTCACATGCACTTCCATTTTCATCTAATCTACGTACAGTTAGATACAATGTTTTGCGTTGTAGTATGACCTTCAATGTGCTTTTCATACTTAGGCCAATTTTGAAACTATCTCTGTGAGGACGAGTTGCACGCGTCCGCACATACACACACATACAGGCACTAGCACGCACATTCGCACAAGCACACGAACACCGTAACATGTCGACAAACGCTTTGGCATGCATGCGCACATAAATAAACGCGAAAAGTCATACACATATAAGCACACTGACATATGACTATTCCACAAACAACACGTAAACACATACATACAAAAACGAAAGGATTCACACATTATGCACACAAACACAATACATAAAAAACAAATAAATACATAATCACGGACACACACTTCTCTCCCTCCCCACCACCACGCTCAACCTAGACAACACAGCTGTACATCACACACACATAAAGGACAACCAGCGTACATAACCAATTATATATTTTTTCCCCGACAGGTTTACAACGAGGATCTTCAGTCAATGCCAGGAGGACCCGAGGCAAGTGTTAATGAACGCCTCGCTATTGTGGGACAACCTGTCACGACCGGATATATACACCATTCACGGCATAAATAACTCAGAGACTAAATGAACACCATTTCAAACTCATCTGGTATTACAATACACACGATATACAGTTCTAGATTCTCTCACACACACACACACACACACACACACACACACACACACACACACACACACACACACACACCTCACGTGTCTATCGGAGCAGGAGGGGTTAAAGAAGCCAATGCCTCTATACTTGTTATGAGAACTAACAATATCTACAAATTAATAAAGAATAAAACACAAGCAGTTAATCCCTTCACACCTTATAGGCTACTTCAGAAAGAAAAAAAATCGAATAGATTTTCAAACATACAGGTTTACTCCCCTCCATCTACCACTGTAAATGTATTCAATGCATATTATATCATTATGTCTAAATCAAATGTAAGTCTGTATATTTTCAGCCACCGGCTGCAACTCTATTAATAAACCGTTTATTATTATTATTATTACTATTATTATTATTATTATTATTATTATTATTATTATTACTATTATTATTATTATTATTATTATTATTATCATTATTATTATTATTATTATTATTATTTTATTATTATTACGAAAACCCATACCAATATTTCTATAAACCAAGTCTCACTTAACCCACCGACAGATACCCCGTGTACGGTTTAAGGTTTACTTAGCACAGAATATATAACAGGTACACGAGTCAATATTCACCTACACCAATGAACATAATCCAAACAAAATAAGACGGTACCAGCATGTAGGGGAGAGGGACATCATTTAAATAACAATGAGGATACGCTTATGACTCCTACCACCACGGTCCACAGCCGGGGCCGAGTGGTTGATCATCTTGGCCTTAAGAGAAATTTATGAAGAGTAAACAGAGAACAGATCCAGTAGGTAAACAAGAGAGTTGGGTGTGTTATTAGGGGGGGGTGAACCAGGTGCTTCATCACCCAGGGTGGCGCTCACCCAGTGTGCCGGAGTCTTCTTCGTCGCCGCCGCCGTCACTCATTTGTTGTTGGAGTGACTTGTCGCCGCCCCTCAAGGCTCTCCCATTCACCAGGCTGCTTCTCTCTCCACATCATCACGATTACGGGTTATCCCTTTAGAGGAGAATGTCGCTCTAAGGTATTTTATTATCGAACGCCAGATGATTATATTCAATTGAGAAAAAACTCCTGCCTACAGGATTATGTAGCCTCTCACTGACCTCTACAGGACTCTCTCCATCGCACCTCCTGTACATTCACTGCTACACAAGGACACCGCGGTATGGTAGGGATTACAAAAGAGTAATACGTACGTGGGATCTTACTGATGCAAGTTGTCGAATGCGGGAAGGGATGTGATGGGAAAGGAGTGGAGAATGGAGGAGGAGAAGGAATAGAATAGGTAAAAGGGGGATAAGGAAGGAGGAGAGAGAGGAGAGGCTGGAGAATGGAAGAGGAGAAATAATATAAAGGGAAAAAGGGAAAGAAAAACGAAGGAGGACAGAGAGAGAGAGGTGGGGGTGGGAGGGGGGGTTACAGAGGAGTATATCCTAAGGGAGTTGCAGAAACAGACCTAGCAGGGGCGGCGCGTGTGAGGGTCCTGGCCACAGTATTACCCCCTACCTCCCGCCCTGCATACACAACTACCTCCTCTGCCTTGCTTGACATTCCCTCTACCTTCACCACCACCACCATGCACCCTCATTAATGCCGGGTCCACACGGAAAATACAAACACTTATATCCCCCACCGTGGCAATGTATACTAAAACAACGTGTCTCATTCACTTAGGGTTAGATTCTACAGGGAGGAAGACCTATTGTACCTGCGTGTGTGTATGGTGGGGGGGGGGGGAGATGCCGCCTATCGTAAACCTACAAAATACTGGGCTAAACACCTGCTGGTTACCATGGACGACACTCAGAACAATCACCCTGTAAATGCAACATTAAGCAACACAGAGCCGATTTAATTAAGTGAGCTTGAATGAATAGTCAAAAGGTTAAACAAAAATTGGGCGTGGAAAAAATATACAGGCTATAACCTTTTGTATCTGTCCATTATACAAATCTAACTTATGACTGTGATATCATACGAGATACGGGCGACTTATGGAAATGACCTTAAATTAATTGTGATGGCAAAGGTCAAAAACCTACTCTAGGAAAATTCCAGCCCTTGAAGTCTCAATGCCATCCACACAATACACGAGATAATTACTGGAACACGAGTGATACACAACACCTTTCTGAATTACAACTGACACATACGCAAACACACACGCAGACACACACACGCAGACGCAAACACACACACAGACGCAAACACACACACAAAATTAACAGAATTTTTACCAGTGCACTCTTAGAAAGTAAATCTCAAGGTAAGATCAGAGTTTTCGTGTTGGGGATCATCTTATTCACCATACTGTAGCTGATGAGGATGAGCGGGAGCTATACAAGCCAGCAATAGGGATAACCACTCCAACATGCAAGGTAAAAATAAACACGACCAGGAAATAGAACAAGCATGGGAGAAAGACTCGTCACAAATAGCTGACACACACACACACACACACACACACACACACACACACACACACACACACACACACGACGTGAAGAATCTGTCATATGAAACAGTCACGTGACACATTTAGGTACGACGGCGGACATGTTGGTCAAGATTTATGACACTGATGAGGAGGAGAAGGTGAAGGCAAGGCACAACCACCGAGGCTGTTGATCACTGAAGGAGTCATTTAGCTCTCCTTACCACCTCCTCCAAAAGTCTCCTCTCTATTTAACTTTTATTTATTTTTTTAAACATCGACATTTGGTACAACACGTTATAGTCTCACTCTCCTGTCGATTAAATTCGTCAACATGAAGAGTTTTCCTCTTTTATCATGGTCATTATTTTTTTTTGCTTTCATACCTAAAATACAATAACTTTACATGTGCCTTCATTAATATAATATAATATAACACACACACACACACACACACACACACACACACACACACACACACAGAGGACATGGCTGGGTGTCTACAAACGATGCACAAAACCATCCCCTCAACAAAGAACAAATTTAGTAAGAGTGGCAGGTCTATTTTCGTGGGTAATCTAAATTTCAAGTGACACTGAGTGGGCATCAGCGGGACTGTATCAGCAGCCACGGCAGTAAAAGTGATAGGGATGTATATATAACATTTATACGTGTGTTGCAATATACATTCTGCCAGACAAGACCAACGTCCCCTGACCACCAGTGTTCATACCCCGAGTGCAATGGGCCATTAGTGTAGCCAAAAGGGTGCGTCCGCCGCCACCAGGGAGATCTTGTCACAAACAAATATTTTCGTAGCGAAATATATAAATAAAACTTCAAGAGCAGACGTGCGTGTAAAGTATGAGTGATAAGACTGTCTGCTGAGGCAAATTATTAAAATAAGTCAGGAGAGC